GACCGAGTTGAAGTTCAATTCAATGGTCATGCCTCTTCGGACCCGAAGAAGTGTGCGAGCTATTTTAGCCGGCAGTTTACACTGAACCCTTCGGTAGACAAAACCAAACGATGTGTTAACCGACGGTTGCGCAAAATGCCAAACGATGGCGCGCCACTTACTTTCACCGATGAAGAGGTTCAGAGTGTCATCAACAAAGCAAAATCTTCCAAATCCATTGGCCCTGATGGAATCAACATGCTAATGCTAAAGCATCTAGTCTCGACGGGAGTAAAATATCTCACCAAGGTCCTCAACCTTTCGCTAACCACTCTTCAAATACCCGATGTGTGGAAAGTCGGAAGAGTGGTCCCACTACTGAAACCTGGGAAACCCGCCAACAAAGGAGAATCTTATCGCCCGATTACTTTCCTCTCCCAGTAGTGAAGACACTTGAAGCCTTGTTACTCCCGACCTTCACTCACCACCTGAGCCTAGCCAGCCACCAGCATGGATTCCGTAAAATGCRYAGTACCACSACAGCACTTAGCGTCATAAACGCTCAGATAGTTCGTGGCCTCGTTGGACCTGTCAAAAGCTTTTGACACGGTCAATCACACAACGCCACTGCAGGACATTAAGAAAACCACGCTTCCTCCAGGGCTCAAGAGGTGGACCATGAACTATCTCAACGGTCGCCAATCATCCGTACTATTTCGAAGCGCAACATCTAAACTGAGAAGAATTAAACAGGGGGTTCCGSAGGGTGGTGTCCTCTCCCCGCTACTGTTTAACTTCTACATCTCGAAACTCCCGCAGGGGGTTTCCATAACCCCGTACGCTGATGATTGTACGATATTGCCGTCGGGCAATGGAATCGATGGCATGTGTTCGAAGGTAAACAACTACCTTTCCGACCTTTCTCGTTTCCTCACTGCACGGAACCTCCAACTTCCCCCTACCAAATCCACAGCGACCATATTCACGAACTGGACGAAGGAGTATAGACTGGAGCTTAATATTGCAGTCGATCAGATTTTAGGTGTCACCTTCGACAGTCTATGCTCCTTCTCTCCACATACGACCGCGATTATCGCCAAAGTACAGAGCCGCAACAAAATCCTCAAGTCGCTAGCCAGCAGCACATGGGGAAAAGACAAAGAAACGTTGTTGGCAACTTACAAGGCAATCGGCCGGCCGGTCCTCAACTATGCAGCACTCATATGGTCGCCTGGATGCAGTGGCACACAGATGAGGAAACCACTGACCTGCCAGAATACAGCACTTCGGACCACGACGGGATTCTCCCTGATGTCTCCCATCGAGCACCTACATAGCGAGACGCTTACGCTCCCAGTTAAGGAGCATAATGAACTCCTCTCCAAGCAGTTCCTGCTGAGATGTTTTCGTAGAAATCATCCTTGCAGTCATCTGCTTGGAGCGGAACCGCCTCCTAGGGGCATCAAGAGGTCATTCCTTTCGTCTCCCTCCCCGTGAATGGCGTACTTGGAGTCAAATCACCACCCATAGCGGACGAAGAGCTCGAGTTGCCGCGAGAAACGCGAGAAACGCGAGTGACCCTTGCGCMACTTCTTTCTGGATATTGTAGCAGGTTAAACTCCTACCTATCCTGAATAGAGGCTGACATACCCAACGTATGTCCTGCGTGCAACGAGTCTCCGCATGACACTGACCACCTCTTTGCATGCCCAACCAACCCCACTCATCTAACACCGTTTTCCCTCTGGTCCGACCCCGTCGAAACAGCACGTTTCCTGGGCCTCCCKTTAGATGACATCGACGACAACACAGATCGCTATCACCATCCCAACGGGGAGTGATAACCGTTAAAACAACAACAACAGTAGAGCGGCGAGACAGTGACTCGGCCGAGTGCTCGTTTCGTTTAAACAGTAAGGCGAGTAATGAACCGAGTTAGTTGGCGAGTATAGTGGCGAGAGAGTCACTTGAATCACATTTTGTTTACTAGGCCGAGTGCTTCTTTTTTCTTCACTCCTTTATTCCTTCTGAGCTAATCACTGACTCGCTCGTGGCATGTGAACACGCGTTCGGTCTTCACTCGCCACTCGGTCGATTTTTATGTTGTTTATTTAGTTTCAATTGCATTTTGCATTGTGAAAGAATTGAAATGGCAAATAAGTGGAATTATGATACAACTGTGAAATTTATTCAAAATTATAAATTGCACCAATGCTTGTGGAATTTTTCATTCTCTTATTTTCTGCTTTCAATAAATCCCACAACTCTTTTATGAGATGCGGTAGAACTTCAATAAAAACTCTTTTAAAATGTCTTTTTCTACCAAACATTGTAAATAAAACTTTGAAAAGCTTCACTGCTTAACTAGATGAACAAAATACGTGTAAACCTCTACTCGCCAACGCAACTCTCTCGACCGAGTATCATACTCGGCCAAAATACTGTCTCGCCACTGTACTCGTTACGTGTAACAAGACCATTAGCAAGTCACAAATCCAAAAAAACTCTTGTCTGCCATTTTGAATATACTGAATAGAGATCATCATGGATAGTAATCGATTGTATTTTTTTTATATTTTATAAGCAACTCAAATACGAAAAGGTTAAAAATAAATAAATTTTTCAAAAATTTCGTAATTCTTATGAAACAAAGTCAACATATATTTTGATTTTTATTGATAATTATGGTTTTTGACTATGTTATAGAAAATTTAATACTTGTTAGCGACATATTTATTTGTATTCAAGTGTAAAAACATCTCTGAATAACGAAATGTAATAAAGTTTGTGACTTCCACTCACAGAATAACCAAATCGTCTCACAATTGTCTCTAACTTAAAATCTCAAATTTAGAGACTTGATACTGTATCAGAGTACAGAATCGCACGTATAATTTGGAAGTAACATGTGGTAAGGTACCAGTTTAAAATATAGATAATTTTTAAATGTGGCATCTTTAAGCGGAAAATGAGGGAACGTAATAGAAGAGCTAATGAACATAAAATTGCTTGGGTGTGTGCGTTGATACTGGGTATTACAACGTCAACAGGCAGTGATATATTTTTTCAGATCAAAAGGTGGGTGCATCTTCGATCGTAATATTAAAGTCCCGTTTTATTCGAATGTAATTAACAGTTTGCATTAAAAATTTTCATTGGTTATTTTACAGTTTTTTTTTTTATTTAATTTTTTTTTTTGTGTACCTTGCGTACTCGCTATTATCAGAATTTTCATACGTTACCGATTGTGTGAAGTTCCAACGCCGTGCCTTTTCGTGTTGCTTCGTTGACTGTTGGATCATCGGTTAACTCGGTACTTCAATATAAATGGATTTTGTGTATACGTCGTGTCGTGGTGGCGAATAAGCAAAAAAAAAAAATTTTTTTTGGAAAATGAAATGTGATCAATTAATAGTATTAATATATTACTGGTGTAAATGTGGAGAAAGTGAAAAACAAATGAAGTATTTATTATAGGTTTAGATCAAATAATTGAATGTTTTTCGGCTATATGTGCCCTGGAAATTCTGAGTAATTTTGTGACTATTTGTGAATGGTAAGGACAAATCGGGCATAAATATTTGGCAGTTAAAGCAATGACTTCAGTTAATATATATTATATATATTTCTCTATATTACTGAGATGTGAAATGAAAATAGATAGTGAAAAAAATGCTAGAATAACATGAAATTTTGTGTTCTACTGCTTTTTAGATTCTGTTTTGCTACATTACAGTAAAACGTTAAAATTATAATATTTATTTTCCGGAGATCAGAAAATAATTTAATGAAATGAATCTAATGAAAAGGATTTGTTTAGATTTGGTTCTAAAAAAATTATTTTATTTGGTAACTGCATTCATTTACGTGCATCATAAAATACATATAGGCCCATACTTGTTCGCATATATATATTTCATTAACTTTTATTTTTCGCTTTATAATACGCACAAGGGGTTATCTCGTGTGTGGATATATTATCTATCGTTCGGCTCTAGTGTAGAGTAAGCAAGCCAGATAGTGTGATGGAAAGTCATGTATACCTCCTAAAATTAATTTGACTATGAAAACCCTAAAATGTTCGCATGTATTTGAGATAGAATGTTCAAAATCTATTTTTTTATATATGTAGATCTTAAGTGTTTTCAATAACAAATTTAAGCATATTAGTATAACGTAATTAGCTATATGATGCAGAGTCTGAGACTTAGTTTGCATAGTTCAACTTTAGGGTTACACTGTGTATATATAACGGAGAGATGATGTTCTCCAGATTCAGAAAAATGCATTATATTTCAAAAATTGTACTATTTAAAGTGCGGGATTCTTTGATTTATAATGCATTTTACATATAATTTTATAACCACGAACACTAAAGTAGTTCGGTTTTACAAATTTGTTTTGTATTAGATATTGCAAATATCGTTGAAATACTATTTATTCCCTGGCCGATCCAAAATCGAGATTTATCAAGAAATGAAAATTGTGAAGGATTTGGCCGATAATGATTTTTGAATTGAGGGTCTTCCTTTGTAATACTTTTTTTTTTTATTTGGTTACACTAATTTTTAGCTTGATTGCAACCATTATCAAATTGTATGACTAAATGGATTTCAACAAAAGTTAAATATGGAATAATACAAATGCGTATATCTAAATTAGTGAAGTGTTAATAAATATAAAAGTTAAAAATCTAAGTATAGAATTCATTATAAATTGGAGAAAGCGAAAAATTCACTCGTATTCCTCATATATTTGCCGGTATAAAGTATGATAAAATGGGTAAATTTTAGAATAACATTCCCCGGATTCGAAGTTAAAATGGGTATGTATGGATAGAGGAGGTTCTTTTAGATTAAGAATACACATATATATATATATATATATATATATAGTTGCCGCGGATTTATGGTTTTTGAGATATACACATTACAAGTTTAAAAAGTCAAATATTTAAATTGCGTGCTTTTCCCATTTATAATGAGTTTTATAGTTATATTATTTACTTTTATATCCACTAACACTTCACTAATTCATTTCTAATCATTTATTTTATATTAAATTGTGCAAAAATAACTTTTATTCAGCATTTAACTTTTGTTAATTCATTTTTGTTCATACAATATCAAAAGGGTTGCATTCGGCTGCGAATTAGAATAGCATCCCCCGATTTCGAGGTTAAAATGGGTATGTACGAATAGAGGAAGTCCTCCAGATCAAGAATATATGTATATGTATATACATATAGTTTCCGCTTTTGAGATTAAAAGTTCAACTATTTAAAACGAGTGTGCCTCTTATTTATAATGAATTTTACACTGTAATTCAAATATTTTATATCTTCTAACACATTCGCTAATTCGTTTCTAATAATTTTTATGTTATATAGTGCAAAAAATATCTTTTATTTAATATTTAACTTTTGTGCAATTATTTTTGTTCACACAATAACAAAATAGTCAGGCAGATCCTCATACCCCAGTGGGTCTACTCTGCTGAGGATGCGTTGCTCCCTTTATTCCTACTCCTGGCCATTGCCTCCGCTAGTACCATTTCATGTTGGCACCGCTCATACCCTTCCTGTGGGGGTCATCGCACCCGCAGTATTTGCCAGCTGCTGAGAGAGGGCATTGCCCACCTATTCTGCGAATCCTCCTCCTGCCGCGAACACCCTCGGTCTCTGCCTGATGTGACTCACCCGAGTCCCATCCGCTAAGCCTTCTGACGGGGATCTTGGCGGCGCTCGTAGCTGCCTCAGCAGCAATAGGCACTTTCGCCCGGCGAGCTCCACTATATGAAGGCATGCCGTCGTTGTTGTTGTTGTTGTTGTAACGGCAGAATTCTGCTGAGTTGACAGTCCTTGGCCGGATAAAAATCCGGGTCCGTTCCCATTTTCGTAGACCCGACTGTCGTGGGAACGGCATGCCGTCGTCATCCTCCCTAGCATGTGGTACCATACTAATATGTTTGAACAAACTAACAAAAATACAATAGAAATGAAGATTAATAAAAAGAAAATTTAACGGGAAAAAAGCTTGACAAACCCATTGACATTATTTTGTTGAAGGAGCGAAAAAAACTTGTCAGACCCCGGTGTAGGACCGACTAGGGTAATATTTTTTTTGAAGAGCGGCGAAAAAAAAAACTTGAAACGCAATGGTGTTGGACTTGCAAGGTGATTTTTTTGGAGCGCGGCCAAAGGCCGCCAACGCAAAAAGGTGTTCTACTCGAAAAAAAACTTTAAACACCCCGTTGTTGGACCGACCAGTGTTATTTTTTTGAAGCGTGGCCGAAGGCCGCCAATTAAAAAAAACTTTTTTACGCGAAAAAAAAACTTGAAATACCCCGCTGTTGGACCGACCGGGGTTATTTCTTTGAAACGCGGCCGAAGGCGGTCAACGCAAACAGGAGTTCTACGCGAAAAAAAACTTGGCAAAAATCCTTTTTTTTTTGTTGTAATCTGTTTTCTTTATTTCTTTTAGTTCATTTACTAAATATGTCCATAAGGTAACACTGATTATTTGACAGATTGCAACCTTTTAGTTGTCAAATAAACAGATTTGAACAATAAGCTTAATATTGACATAAAACTATTTTTGCACTATATAGTTTAAAAATAATGTGTACAAACGATTTAATGAAGTGATAGTAAACATAAAAATTTTAAATATAAGTGTAAAATAAATTTTAAATCCAAAAAATACGTTCGAGAACTATTGGTTACCTGTGGTTATAACTATATATATTCTTGATCTGAAGAACCTCCGGTACCTCTATCTATACACATTTTATTTCCGAAAGCCGTGGACGGTATTCTAAAGTTTTTCCTTATCTTTGTTAATAAAACGTTTACTTCCTCGCCACTGAGACTCGATGCGTTGAGTGAGGGTTCCGTCCTCTGCGACGATCGGATTATCCGGGTCGCTTTGATTTATCCGTCGGTGCTCACACACACACCGGACAAACAGTCATACGCCTTCCCACAATCGGTACATAGAACACTACATTTTGCCACGTTCTTCTCCATCAAAGGTATGAGCACCTCAGCAGACCTGTAGACACGCGATTATAGCCGAGTAAACAAGAGCGCGCCTGTCGTTTCTTCTTTTCGCTACGTGGCGCCAATTTGATATTCCAAACGAAGCTAGGCTCTTCTCCACCTGGTCCTTCCAACGGAATGGAGGTTTTTCACTTCCTCCGGCGGGTACTGCGTAGAATACTAATAGGGTGCTTCCGTCCATTCAGACGACATGACCTATGACCTAGCCAACTAATCCAGCGTAGCGGCTGTCTTTTAATTCGCTGAACGATGTAAATTTCATCGTATATCTCATACAGCTCATCGTTCTATCGAATGCGATATTCGTCGTGGTCAACGCGCAAAGGACCGTACATCTTTCACAGAACATTTCTCTCGAAATCTCGCATCGTTGCCTCATCAGATGTTGTCATCGTCGATGCCTCTGCATCATATAGCAGGTCGGAAATAATGAGTGACTTGTAGAGTTTGGTTTTTGTTGGTCGAGAGAAGACTTCACTTTTCAATTGCCTCCTCAGTCCGAAGTAGTACCGGTTGGCAAGAGTTATTCTGCTTTAGATTTCGAAGCTGACATTGGTGTTGGTGTTGATACTAGTTTCAAGATAGACCAAAAATTATCTTCGGAGAAAGTAGAACTAACGGCGCGGATGTTGAAGCCAATGATATAAATGACATCGGTGTACGTCAGCAGCTGTCAACTCTTATAGAAGGCCGAGTGGCCAACAGAGGACCTCCACGGTCCCCAGTAGCTCAAACGGGCAACATAGCTCCCACTCTGACTTGTACGCAAATTAAAATCTTAATAGGGATATTCAGACCGAAACCTGTCAATTTGGTAATTCGTTAGTTGATACTCCGTTAAAAAGCATAACTGTGAACATACCTTTTGCTCTACCTCTATAGTATGGTAAATTTTATTCCGAAACAGCTGGTTCAATTTTATTAACGAGTAAAAATGCCTCAACAAAGTGCAAAATCCAAAATTGTCAGTCATTTAATTGAAAATTGTGTGAAGCAGATCAAATTTATTGCTGGTAAGTACTTAAAATTGACGTAAAGAGGAGCATGGAATTAACTTTCAAATTATTTCAAGACATATTCAGTGAAGATGAAGATTTGGTAGAGGATACCATTAACGAGGTTTATGATGATTTATTCATTACACTAAACTGTCGTAGAGGTGTAGAAAATATTTTTCCAAAGTCAACTCAGTGGTGTGATGATGTTTTAACCACAATGGATGGCAGTCGGTTCCGTCAAATGCTGCGTGTAGATCAAACTTAATATTACTTATTGACCCTCATATCAAGTGACGAAGTTTTTAAAAAATGTATGGGCAAGCAATTCCCGATTGATATACAGCTAGCGGTCGTTCTATATAGATTGGGCTCTTCTGGAGAAATTGCATCGATACGAAAAATTTCATCTACTTTTGGGATTGGTGACGGAAGAAGGTTAACAAATATTACTCGCAGAGTATTTAAGGCATTTTTAAAACAACTCCATTTATATATATA